TTTACAATATTTGCAATTTGTCCTTTGTCGACCTTTGTCGAAAAGCGTTTCGCATTTCCGCTGAACTTTGCCTTTGATATACGCGTATCATTTATCACAATAAACACTCGTTGTTCCGCGGTCAGGTGTACCATTTTCTTTCGAAGCAATAACATGGCTCATTTAAATTTTTAAATCATGTTCACAATTTCAAATTTTTCGTATTTAGCATATTATAAATCCCCAGGGGATAAAATTCGTGAACACGGCATTCAAATTTTAACAATGTGTGATTTCAATAGTTTTCGTTTTTTTGAGGCATGCTGTATATAGATTATATTATGTCTATATTCATGTGCGAGTTCCAGGAATCAGGGCACCAAGAATTAAAGAATCGCACACTAATTCTGAGAAATCTTTTTCTAAAAAATCCTCCGTATTAAAAAAAGCGAAATTTTAATAGAATGGATGTTCGTGTGAAGTGCAAGTTCTTTCCAGTGAAATTATTCGCATGTGAGCCCCGTTTTCACTATAACCGGATTCGCTTGTCACAACATCTTCGTCTGCCTTTGGGCAATGGTTAGTAGCAATCCTGAGTTAGTTTTGATAGATTTGGACTTTGGTATATTTATTTCCACAGTCCAAATCTATCAAAAGTAATCAGCATTGCTACTGATTGGAGCTATACGGCGTATAATTATTTATCACACGAGAATGAAAGTTAACAAGAATTCCTGGAAAAGTCCTTGACATGTAATAGTATCAATAACACTTGGTGAGCTACTGACCGTATTCGTGCGAAAACACATTTTCTGTCACAATTCGCTTTCCCAGTTCATGTCATGTGTAACAGCGCATTCGTGATTCGTCAACCGGCTTTACAACATTTACAACACAACCGGCTTTGAAGTTTTCCCTGATTTTAGTGAGTGATAGGGAACAGTTCATATTCAAAGGCCAAGATAATTTAATTGTCACGAGAGACGGAAGCATGGCTCAATTAAAATAAATAAATTTACCAAGAATAAAACTTGAAAGCATGAAAGTAAAAACGCTGCAATTGAACCGTGGCTTGAGCAGTGGATTTTATTCTCCGAGATTAAACGATGTACGCACTAAATTATATAAGCGCTAAAGCACACGTCTGCACGAGTTCAGTACACCTTGACGGTTGAGGAACATATAAGCACTTTTTCGCGATAAATAAACACTCAGACTTATAGGCTACTGCCTATTTAGAAACACTCGTTTTATCGTGTTTTATACATATTTCTTCCCAGGTGCCATACAACTGTGTCCCAAGCTTTAATCCTAACCTAATCATATATAGTGCGTCCAGGGGGTGTATTGCCAAAATTTTATCCAGGGGGGCTTGTTGATATATGCCATCAAAGTAAAAAAGTCATTTTCCAATTTCTCTTGTTCGACTTTGGTTTTCCGTTAGTATTCCTTCGCTAATTTTCCATCTTTTCTTCCAGTGGCAAGTTGTTTGAAGATACTCCCAGCAATTCACTTACATGAATTTTCAATTCCGGCACGTAAGAACAAGACTCGTGGACAGTGGAGACGTGGGGATAGTTGATTTGCTGCCCATATACTTTGCAAGTAAACAGACTATAAATCATCCCTCAGAAGTGAATTGGACCCAACAAAATTGGATCGTGTGAACTTGCCTTTACGCAACCAATACATGGTGCTTCCACATTAATTGAAATGTAAAACGAAACTTAATTGAAATAATTTTCGATTTTGATGATATTCGAATTTGTCGGAGCTGGAATTCTTTTGCCTGGGATGGATTGTTTACTGGGGGTATGAAAGATCATTTTGAAGTACCGATGTTAAGTGTATCAATCTTGTGGCAACTAGTTCATAATAACTAGTTTAACACATCTGTTCTGAACCGATATTTTAAATTACGATCTATGAGAACAACAAGGCTACTGTTGTATATCGGAAAAATTACTCTGCATTGATCATTGACCGCAGATGTTCAGTAAAATTTAACTGATTACAAGCTTTTTAACAAACTGACAGGCAAAACAATGCTATAAAAACATTATTTATACAATTGCAGATTATATTAATAGTTCTGGGACTTGGTCTTCGACCATATCACTCGTATTCTTTGTTTTGTCACACCACTCTGAGAGAAGATCTTTCATATTGGATATCTAAATGAAGACAAACAGCTTAATATTTACCCTTGCTGGTTACGTTTCATAACACAGCGAAGAAAACCGTACTACACTTTAACTAACCATGCCTTATAGCACTATTTAATTTTAAACTATACCATACCATACCAAACGTCATACATGCCCCAATCCCTGTTTCAGAAACCAAATAATCTACAACACCAAACATGACTAGAAGACGCCCAGCATGCATTAATGGAAGATGCAGACTTCGGCCACATTTCCACAGACCTCATTTCCTTAAAACCACAAAACTCACTTTCCAAACTAAAGAGCTAGGGATTACATTATGGACTATAATTATACCCCATCTTTGCCAGTAAACACATTTTACATTACAAAAAAGCAGTATGATTTTTGGCACTTCACTCGCTTGGTATACTGTACTTCTCGGATGCGAATCTACGCATATATCTGCATGTATACCATACGTAGTGAGTCATACCTGTTTTCTGTCCAAAACCCGTGGTTGAACCCAAGATATCTTAACAATTTGTAATTCTTGTTCACTTCGTTAATTGAGCCTACCAAGGAATTAATTGCAATCAGAAATACATATAGCATACACTTTAATTGAAGACATCCACATTTATTAATAACAATATATATATATATATATATATATATATATATATATATATATATATATATATATATATATTAAAAATAAATATATATATATACATATTGTTTACAAAGTTGAATATCTTTTCCATAACTATTTTCTATACGATAGGCGATTGACGTCACACTTTGTAAATTTTTAAAACGAACAGTGGTTCAGAAACACAGGATTAGAATTAATCCAGGGGTTAGCGCTAATCCCTGATAATGGCCCCAGTTGATATTTAGTCAAAAACAAACATCAGTAGACAAAGCAAGTTGCGCGCGGTGGGGAATATTGCGAGGAAATCAAGGGATGCTACTCTACAGGGTATCTCAAAAAACGCAACCACTTAAATATGCAAGAATATTAATATTGTTCGGGTTTGCACCACAGTTCAGCTAAAATATAACAGTGGAATTAGTATAGGGAAAGCTAACCTTATTCATTTAAAGACGTTGCCTAAAAGTTTGATTTCGAAATGAATTCATGCTTATATTGCAACGTTTAAATTGAATATATATGGTACAAAGCCACATAATTACAAGTACGTCGACCTTGCGTTTTTGCGCACTACAAAATGATCGACATGGAATTGACCTAATTATACAGTGTTATGTAAACACCTGCAGTTTAGCAGTTTTCACATCGATGTGGCAAATACTTCATACCTGGACCCTGATGAAATGAAAATGAACCAAATTACAACTTTCTCCTGGTTTGATATTTATATGTTCCGAAATAAAATATTATCTTCCTGTTTCAGCTCTTCCTTCAGATGAAATTACTAAGGAATTTACTAATGATATCAAGGATGAACTCGATATGCTTAAACGGATCGGAAAATTCCAATTGCAAACACGTCAATCACATTTAATTGTTCACGTGTTTTCAGTTTGGATTTACCTGCCAAATTATTCCTATAAACACGATGATTTGCTTAAGAGCCAAATAAGAGGGTCACGGAATGGGTAAAATGGGAGCTGGGATTGCTCCAATTCAGTTACGCTGGAAAAGTGGGATTTAGTTCTTGGGAATGGGATTTGACCTTTTTTTGGATTTCGTCAATTGGACAATAACCCCCCCCCCCCATTTTAGGACCCTTCTCAAAGTATACAAAATTGTAACTATTGGAAATACGGCAATTTAATGATTCTTTATCTTTATTCGCCTGAACGGATTTATATGTGCATTAAAGGATACGAGAATTCAAGTGGTATTTCAAATTATATGTGGCGACGCTACTTCGGTATTGCGATGGTATACGTTCGCTTCCAAGCAGTGAAGTCATGAATAGCACAACCTTTGTGGAGGCGCGATGTGATGTTTTTGGCCGCTCTAAGCTCGGTGTTTACTAGAACACGGAAATCAGAAATAGCAATATATACTGTTTAGCATGATTGAAAAACGTCCAGAAATCGTAGAAACTATTACCGCACGTTTGTTTCATTTGATCTTTCTTCTGTGTAATAATTATACGGACTCCATAGAACTCCATATATAACCACAAACAGTATTGAGTAATAGTTTTTAGTTTAAGATACATATTCCGTGGGTTATTAATTGGTCAGGCAATTTAGGTTGATTTTAATTTGTTTAAGCGCATGCCACTTTTTTTCTAAGCATTTACCACTTCCTGCTCCAGGAAGTGGGAAACTATCAGACATTTGAAGCCAAACATTGCATGTTTACATGAACATTTGTATACTTCTGATACAAACTGAGGAAGCTATTTAGTGTCGTGTGCACGAACTTTATCTTTTGTGCCCAAAGGAAAGCAAATTTCTATTTGCGTTAGATACAATTATAGACCACGTCAGTTCAGTCAGGATGAAAATGATAAATATAAAATATTTTGGTATTATTAGTATCACTATTAATTACACGCTAGAGGGCGTCATAAGTGGCGGGGCATATTTTTATACTCGTCTTTTACATTATTAATTTATTTTCAAATTAATTGTTATCACGGTCTATGAACATGAATAATATAAACGTGCACACCCCCTACCCCCCCCCCTAATCGACGCTCGCGACGCTACTGGGCCAGAGAAGCAAGAAACATGAAGTAAAGTTTATGATCATATACTGAAAACAGACGACACTGCGCAATTCCGCAAATTTTCCCAGCAACGCGGGGCTTCAGAGGAGATCACAAATGTCACTCAGCAAGGGCATGACGTATTGTTTGGGGATAGCATAAGAGATAGTTTCGAGCAAAGAATTTTTTATTTTCCCATATTCTATTTGTTTATCATAATTATCAAAAGCAACAACCACATCAAACTACTGACATAAACACAATCATATGGAATCATCATGCAGAACAGGCAAATTAGGAAAGATTATAGGCGTTTTGTCTTCATCAACGTGTTCGATCAACATACGAGGAATCTCCATCTTCTGTCTCTAACAAAATACAAAAGAAAGACGACGAATTTGACGGATTTTTCCAAGCGCCAGTAAGTTTATAATTAAATAAGATTTTTAAGTACAAAACACCACATGATTGCATTTTGCGATTAAACAGCAAACAGACATCCAAACGTTTCCTCTTCTTCTTTCTCAAATTTTCTTCCTATTCTTCTTTCACTTCCACAGTTACACGCGTAAAAGTCATCATGTTGATGAATGCAAGTTGTATAAAATAAGACTGAACAATGTGATGCTGCCCACCAATGATCTATATATGTATTACAAGAGATAGATCTAATATAGGTCAGAGTGCTGCACCCTGTTATATAACAATGGTTGTTGAGCTATCCAGGAAGTTTCAGCTTGTTGACAATCATGTTAACAAGTTGTAACAACGATATTCATGGTTTAACAAGGTCAGTTCAGCAAAATTGTTAATACTGTACGTCATGTAAGCTTATGGGTGAAGCACGGTCTATACCAAGCGATAAAGGAGAGTATTCAACGAACTTACTCTCTAAAATTGCTGTGGTAACTTTGTACGCCAACAAGATAATAATAAGATGGAACAGTGTAGCTCAAGTAACCATCCCAACTGTTCACGTAGCCAGTCCAATAACAAGCGCGAGTGTAGCTCTTAGTTTTACAGCATTTGAAATTAAATTTTCTGTCTTCATACCAGTTGCTATGATACGACTTCACACCTGATTTAATTAGAAATAACTTTTTGAATACAATGTGTGTTTCATTATTTTTTCAGTTGAGTGAAATTTAGAATTGACCCTCACAAGGGGCTGTTTACGTGTATGATTTTGGAGGATACTAAACAAGCGTAAATCATATGAAAGTAAGAAATCAGTGTCAGACATTTTTATTCCTTGTGCTTGAATACATTTTGTGTAATACTCACCAGTGATAACTCCAGTTGCGCATTGGTAGAGAAGGTCTTTGTCAAACGAATTTACATACCCAGACCATCGGCATGAACTTGTTATTATGGAGTCATGTTTGCATTTCCATGTCCATGAACGATCTTCATGCCAGTTGCTATGAACGCTGCTGATATGCCGGATGGATTGGCCTACAGTGCATGTGTGACGGAATTTACGGAAATTTTACATATAAAGTGGAAGTCAAGTCCGTATGTAAACAAACGGAAATACGTTGCGCTGTTTGAATGAAGTCTTTTCATTTTTACGGTGTATCAAGATGTTTCTCTTCTGAAGGCGGTTCGAGTGTTAGTAATATAACTATAGTATTAATAGATATGGTAGAAAATGGTTGCTAGATGTTTGTCGACTTACCTGATGGACAATCACTTGACCAAGCCGCGTCGAAGTTTGTTCCAGCATTGATGAGCATAGAATTAGCAAGAAAAATCAAGACTGTCAAAGTGACTTTCATCATCGCCGTGTTCTATTATATAAACAGGTTGAAGCTGATTTAGACATTTCAGGAAGAATTCAGGCATTATTGGCTTTGCCTGAGAAATGTAAACAAATTTGGCGAAGTTCCTTCTTGTTTCGGTCATAAGTGCGAATAACAGCACTTTGTAATCTCGTCTTGGTCAGTCACAATATAGAAATTCCATTTTTTTTAATCAATATGGTTGAAGAGAAAATGTTTTACTTTACTGTGTGTTATTACGTTTAGGTCGAGTATTCCCGGACATTTCGTCCGGTCATGTAAACGAGAAAACATTGACATGCATTACGCACACACATTCATGCACTTTATTCATTTTTATGTAAAAGACAAACAGGACATCTTTAGAATTAAAATATGAAACAAACAAGACACAGGTTGGGACTGTATTAAAATCTTCAGTCTCAACCTGTGTCTTGTTTGATTCATATTTTGACTCTGAACATGTGCTGTTTATTCGGAATTTGTTTTTTACGAAATTTTTTAAATTGTCGGCTAGTCATGGTTTTTATTCCATTTTTATATGTATATAAATATCAGTATATATGGGTAAAGTATTTTTTGCGTCCGACGATCGTCCTCAAATTTCATATGAAAATAATGAAATCGTATTTGGCATTCCTTCGCAGATGATTGTGGATTGATTGATACCAGTGAGACATAGAATCTGACATATGACTTGAAGAAGTTAATGCATGTAGCTACATGATCATGCAGGGTTGGTATATAAGTTACTGAATAAATAGACCAAAATTGTTATTGACGGCCCTTTGATTATTACAATTAAACAAAAAAAGCATATGTTATGATAATAATATTTGGCTTATTTGTTCATGGTCTATACCAACCCTGTATATGATATATTTTAAACGTGACGAATATTCTTAGAAAAGCCGACCAAATCATGCGAATTGCTTTATTCCGGATCACGTGATTGACGCTCAGCTTTAGTTTTCCTGGAAAATGCAGTCAATTTCTTTGAAAAATGGCGCCTAATCAATATGACCATACAATATACTTGCTTTTCTCTCTTAGGTATATAACAGTGGAATCAGTATAGGGATAGCTAACATCTATCATTTAAAGACGTTGCCTTAAAGTTTCATTTCGAAATGATTATACACACTAATTAAACTGATTATATACGAGTACTCAGACATCGTGAATTGCAATTAAGTACGTCAAGCTCGAGTTTTTTCGCACTGAAATATTATATGCATGACATATGTTTGAGCAAAAGATTTGCGATGACTATGAGTCAGTTCAGAACTTAACAGCAAGTGTGTAATTACGGTTCAGTTAAGTAAAAAAAGTAGGACGGAGGAAACCTTTGTATGATTGTAACAATACAATATATCATTTTACCTGGCCATCTAGTAGCTGGTATATTCCATATTAACAACTTCCTACCTTGTAAGCTAAAGGGTAAATTTTGATCACTAGATCCCGATTTGCAAATAATGGCAGATCTTCAGTGCTTATACTTTAATTTATATACGCTCGTGCAGGAAGCAAAAGATAACCTGTTCGACCCCTTTTCAGTTCAGGATTCACGAAGAAATATGAAGCGGTTAATTAACTGCATGCTAAGCAGTAAAAAGCGACGGTGTGAAACATGGAATCCGAAATCGTGGAGCATCTTGGGATCTTTGAGTTCATTTTTCCTTAGAAGTCACTTAATTAGTAAAAAACAATAAATACTGACTGGTAACTATTAAATAGTTATAAAAAACAATTGTTTTTAAGCAATAAATTCATGGAAAATACAGTAATTAATTGTATGCAGTAATTATTACTGTTATATTGAAATACAAGTTTGGAAAAATCCAGTCGGTATTTATAACGTATATTTTTCCTTTCAATATTTCCTTCCTTATAATCAGCTCTTATAATGGTCATTAATTGAAAAAATTTGATGGAATTCTATGATAAAGCTGCATAAAAAATTTCAATTTGCGGATTTCACGTTTTATATGTAGCTCTACAAAATGAGGCGAAATTGCCGTAACTCTTGTTGCGAACAAGAATGAATTATTACTGAGGACAGAAAGATCGCGATCAGATGATCGATGATCGTTGGTTATTTGTATAACGTTACATACAGACAGCTCAATGTCGGCTTAAGAGAAACATCTCTTCAAGAGAAACATTATAGTATAAAAAGTTGCGGGGGGGCTAATATGTATTCGGGGCAAATATGTATCCCACCGTCTCTCTAGGATTGAAACCCTTGAAGGATGGTGTTCGAACCGTTTTAGTTTTAATAACTCGCTCGTTTATTCGACTTTATAACAGGCAGATGAATGTCTAAGAAAACATTAAATAACTATATAGCAGTGATATACCAAGATTTCGTCACCTCTTCAAGGGAGTCTCTCCACAACCATTCAAAGAACGTGTAGAACGTGCGAGGGTATAGTCGTTTGTAGCAGGACCATGCACTGTGGAATTATTCAATTCAGTCTTGGAAGACAAACAATATGAAATAAACCTACACAATTAATATTTCGAAATAATCAGTAAACAGTCCGGTTTGGCGCCGTTATTTTTCGGAAATGCTAATGAATATCATAATTGGACATTTTTTCACGAAAGGTAAACGGTAAAAGGTTACAGATAAACCTGCACTAGGTAAAAACAAAAAAAGAACGTCAGTTGAAATATCCTGTCTAAATAACGCATTTTATCCTGTATCCATCTTCTATTATTTTCGCGGTAAATAAGTGTTAAATATTTTGACAAACATCCAAAGCAGAATTGTGCATAGCAATGCTACCATTCAACTAACTTTTTGTAACCAACACAAAAGCATACCGTGATAGTCTTTATATATTGGATTTGTTTCTTTCTCTGATCCTGCAAATGACTCAAACTTTACTACAGTATCACAAAGTCTCTCAACACGATTAATAAATGTCGAATCCTAAAAAATAGTAAAATACGTGATGGTATGATATTTTATCTCATATTTCTCAAAAAGGATTAAAAGACTTAAAGAAAAACAGATTTATTGGGGTTTTTGACGAACTTAAAAAAGAAGAAAAAGATCTACAGAAGCCAAAAAATGTTTACATTATAAAGCATTCTTGTTGAGAGATAAGCTTAGCATGAAAAGGAAGGTCGTATTTCATGGCCTATATAGGCCTTATTTGCGCATTCATTTTCCAACTTCCCTTCCCAAGGTGCAATTGAAGGCGTTGTGTTTTTCTTCTCAGGCCAGGAGAATAATTTTGAATTATAAAGTCCATTTGTAGTTGTCAGAGTATATGAAGAATGTTGCTTTTCGATGTGATATGCAGAGTTCACAAAATTATAACATCAAGCTGGGAAATAGCATTCGTACTTTTTTCTGACAGTTGTCTTGAATTACGTGAAATCGACATTTCGTCGAAATTTTATGCATTTGACTGTAAGAAAACCAACGGCTGATTGCGAAGACAATTTTCATTTTTCAAACAAACAGCTAAGGAAGATCGTAATATTCCTCTGAGATAATACAAGAACATCGTTAATGAATGATCGCCATCATTATGGTTAAAACACAACGGATATTCCAGGGATATCGATTGTATTGAAATTCGTAAAATGATTCAATCTTTGATCTACAACATAGTTAGCATTACAGGCTTAGAATATGACCTCGGGCCGTTAGGGGAAGTAAATCACACTGAGGAGGGTGATAAGTGTTTTCGTAGCATTTTGAAAGGTGCACCAATTTTCGAATTATGGTAAAAAAAAGGGAGACAATTTTCTGCATCTTTTTATCATTATTTTTAAATCTAACATTATTTTCACATTTATTATAAAAGTTCACATTGTATCTTCAAAAGCCATGGTAGTTCATACAATCAATAGTTATCAATAAGAACGTATAATTACCACATTCTGTCTATAGACCCCTCCCCGTATACTAGAAATGCATATAGGATTTTAAGGAAACGATATTTTAATGTATAATTTCTTTAGACTGATAAATTTCTGGACATTTTAAAATTCAGAATTGTATTCGAAGGACTCAAACTACCTAAACACACCAAATATTTCTTAACGAGGTGCTATTGATGCTTGTTGGTACACTTGCACCTTTTCAAATCCCAGTATCTTAGTTTATTAAGTTTTATTAATATGTATATAAGTAATTTATAGTATTGGCACTGAAATGCTATTTGTTAATAAGTATCTACTTACACAAATTATAGTTTTGATAGACCTGTGTATAATTAATTAATTTAACTTTTAGGTACATTGCGTAAGTGTACAAGACATATCGATGAGCTATATTTATGATGAATCTTCTGATGCAAAGCCAAAATATTTAAAAAATATAACATCTTAACATTGACCTTATCATTATGCTAATTAGCTTAACATTCACCTTATCATTTGATAATTTTGAGCAAAACTCTCTTTATTATTGTATAAATGTGTACCAAATGGCAATAAATAGTCACAATGCATATTGATGACTTATATTGATAATGATTCCTCTGATGTAAAGCCAAAGTATAGAAAAAATATAGCATTTTAACATTGACCTTATCATTATAATTATTTTGTTGTATAATGTTCACTCCCCCCTGGTAAATGGTTCTTTTGCAACAAATAGACTCCTTAAGTAGATAAGTTGAAAATAATGGGAAAATAAAAGTGGCATCTTAACATTCTACTTATCATGTAGTGGGGACGAGGACGGGGACGGGGACGGGGACGGGGACGGGGACGGGGACGGGGACGGGGACGGGGACGGGGACGGGGACGGGGACGGGGACGGGGACGGGGACGGGACGGGGACGGGGACGGGACGGGGACGGGGACGGGGACGGGGACGGGGACGGGACGGGGACGGGACGGGGACGGGGACGGGACGGGGACGGGGACGGGGACGGGACGGGGACGGGGACGGGACGGGGACGGGGACGCGGACGCCAAGACTATAGCAATAGCTCTCTTGCACTAAAGTGCAGGCGAGCTAAAAATACAAAGCTTTCGGTCCGTTATCCTGGGCCTTCACTGCCGAAAGCTTTGCAGTATTTAATACAAGTTAATTAATTTTTTTTTAATTAATAAATAATTTATTTATTTATGTCACCATGCAAACATACAAGAATATTATGTGTATAATCAATTATAAAATCCGTACGCTAAAATTTGACTGCACGTGAATAAAAAAGTTACAAAATCAAATCTATTTAATGATGTGCTATAATGATGTACTAGAATAAATGTCTCCTCTCATATACGGACACGTCACACATCTGTTCTACTGCACTGCCCACATGATCGGTGATCGCTGTTCACATGATCCACAATCCTACGGACCGAATTCATTCAACACCCTGTCCACATGATCAATTACCTGTGTCTACGTGCACCTCGATGATTCCTGCCTTATTGTACTATAGTGTCGGCTTCAACAACGGGGAATTTCGTTTTAGACCAATCAGCAAGTTTGTTTACATTTTCAAAAACCCAATCAAAATGCATAAATTTTGATAAAAAGTACAATATGGCGATTAGTTTAAGACGAAATTCTTCCTTGTTGTCGGTATCCACTGAGTACTATAATTTTAAATATTTTTGGTTCCATGCCTTTATTAGATCAAGGTACCAAATTAACATCCAAATTAAGGTTCTGGGTGAATTATGGGTTTTTACATACACAGAGTTAAAAAATTCCTTTAAGAAGATCTGATGTTGTGAACGCAAAGATAACTTGTACTCCGTGCCAGATTTTAGTCCTACGATTTTCACTTTCTTTTCCTCCCTAAACGATAGCGACGAGACCCCACAATGTTTTTTGTCACTGTAACATTGAATTTCGTCTTGAATATCATTCAGCTCTAGATCTTCCAGTGAGTTAGCCCACGTAAGCACCACATATTCATTGGAAACGCTCTCCACCGTCAACTTCTGAAATTTCGTTAATGGCATTAAGTTTGTCTCTTTAAGCTCTCCTTTATAATAATACTGCACGAATGCACCGGGCCTTTCACTACAAAGGAAAAGGCAAGTATAACTATTATGAACCGGAAAAGATTCGTGAACAAAAATTAAAGTATCTGCTTTTGAACAACCGGACCCTGGTTTACAAAGTAAAATTATTATATGCATGTATGACATGTCAAGATAAGGAATTAATATCTTTCACATAAGCACTGCTACTGGATAAAAAATACTTGATTTGTTGCCGAAACAAACGAAAATTTCATGTATATTTACATCTGCCAGATTTTAATCAAATTATAAACTTTTAGATTTTAGGACAAAGGTGAACTTTAAAATTTAATAATTTAGCTAAAAAAGTTATTTTGCCAATCGATTTCTTTCCAAGCTTAAAACAAGCTACTTTCCAATACACAATTTGGTTTCAGGTGAAAACGTTCAACAGTAAGCGCTTTATCTTACTTTACGGATAAAATTTTACACAATATGAGAAAAGGAAAATTTTGCGGTGCACTATTTGCTGCGGAGCGAGCGAGCGTAGCCGCATCCTGATTTGTGCAGTAGCAGAAAAAAGCAAATTTTAGGGCCGTAAGGCATTGTGGCTTTGCGCAGTTCTGTGCGCATCGTCTATAAATTCGTCTCACTTCACTACATGTGGTCTGGCTGAAAATTGTTTTGATATTGTGCGATGAATTTTCTTATCGTGCGACAAGTTTGTCCTATATTCTGTTTACCATTTGCCATTCACGTGCTTTTCTACTGTAATTTATATCATTATTGGTTTACTGTTCGCTCATCTATCCATGCTATATGGGATAGTAGAGTCAGGATAATTTGATTCCTGTATCGTCCTGTATCGTTTATAAGGTTGTGCTTGCTTCGATTTGTAAACTATAAAGGCCTCAATTAAGTGTTTTTAAAGACAATCCATGCACGCTATTTGATATTTAGCCGTTTAATAACTGTAATTGCCAGGTAAAATTATCAATATTTGACGGTTTAATAGATGTATTTAGTGGGACTATTAGTGATGATTTGATATCCGCGCGATATATAAACTCCAAAATTTGAAGCATATATGCGGCCGGCGATTTGTAAACTATTGGTCAAGGCTAAGGCAAATAAAATGCTAAACAGTATCAAGTCGAAATCTCGTACTTTAATCTTGCGAAGTGTTAATCGTGATCGCTATTAGTGGATATAAAATGTGAAGAGTACAAGCGAAATACTAGTTCAAGTCTATTTCAGTTTCGAACCGTGAAATGACTCGATTATTAGAATAATGCATCCAACACAGGATGCATCATGATAATCGATTATTCATTTTGATTTACGAATTAAATGTTATTAATGATTAGCAACAGCTGACGCTGTGATACGAAACTTTAAATTTTAGATTATGCGCTATCCATGATTCGCGCAACGCGTTTTTACCCAATCTTCGCTAAACTATAGGTCGCCACATTCTTAGAGGCATATGAAACTGGTTCGATACAATTTTACTTAAAACAGGTGCTCAACTCTTTAAGGGTTCTCCTTAATTCTCAACCTCATACCAACTACCAAGGCCGTGGGTACGAGGTTGCCTTTTTCTGTCTTTACCCCGAAATGACCCATTGGCTTGAATACGTGGAAAAGAATTGACCGAATTTTTCAACACATTTTTAATTAACTTAGGAAAAAAACAAATGGCTATATATATCAAAATAAAAAAAACCCGGAAAGTCAGATTTTTTGGAAAATAAAAAATGTTGCTTTCCGCAATAAAAAATTATGACTTTACCAAATAGATTTATTTTTTTGTATAATGAAAGTTTTTGGCAGTGCATTACCCCGTGTAAAATTTTAACATAGAACAGTACAAAAAGTACTCGGTAAAAATGGAAATTTCATTACGTGGAATGGAGCAAACAACCGCTAACATTGCGGAATCTTTTCATCTCATATTTCAATTATTTCAATATTCTATATAATCTCACCAGTCTGTTTGGTAATGGAATCAAACATACATACTTAGGATCCTTGCCAAGAGGTTCTTCTGTGATGACAAACTTGGCAGCTTTACACTTCAGATTATCATCCCTTAGCGTCAGAAAACGCTCCAAAGACGCACGTACGAATGAGGCGAATGGCATCATCACAGGCTGTTCAAATTCCTGCACTGGTTCTTTCTCCAAAAATCGTTCCATATTCTGAAGTTGGGTGTCTGTGTCCGGGAAAAGCTTGAAAGCAAGGCATACTAGGTGGTAAATGTTAGGGTTTAAGAAGTAGCTTTCCAGTTCTCCACGGCCAACAAATGGGGTCTTGAGCGATTTCATCAAACCTTGCATGACCTTCATTTCCTGCTCCTTCACACTGAGCCATTTTGAAAGGCCGGAATGTGAAAATACCGAGCATTCCTGCTCCCTCAAGAAAGTATCGAGGTGATCATTATCGGCTGATCCACACGAAATTTCACGATGCAATTCTGAAACCTTTTGAATTAAAAAATGCTTGTACTGCTGCACCATTTCCATGAACAATCTAAGCTTTCTTTTTGCGCTCGGAAAACCATCCGCTTGAACAAGATCCTCACAAGAAGCAAGGATAAAGTGAATTTTCTCTTTTATGAAACATATCTTCTGAACTAATGAAGAACGAATCTCTTTCACAGTATCACCGCCTTTTCCAGCGAGGCTCTGTAAAGGACATAGGTGAAAAGAAACTGGAATTCCAATGTTTCCACTGCTTGTCAAGGACGGTAGCTTCTTGTAAAGCTCTACTGCTTCTTTAACATTAGTCGGGTTTGTATCAACAGGAAAATCGCTGTACAAATTGCACTTTATCCTTTCATCCCGACTATAATCATTACCAGTATAACCACCGTCAACCTTACCCGAAAATATTCCCTTTAACTTCTCTAACAGGAGCTCAGATTTCAACTTTTGCGAGCATTCTTCTTTATCAAGCTCCTCAACGAAATTCATGATAATCTGTCCACCATATTTTATTCCAACAATAACATGGGTGGCAATATCTTCTTCTAAAATCTCGGGATGTTCAATTTTATCTTTTTTCAGGTGTTCCATTGTAAGCTGTCGAAGTTCTGTTGTTATTTCGTACTTGAAAGAAGCTTGAGCTTGATGCCTTAGATACTTAGAATCTCGCAAATAACTAGCCATACCTTGCAAGTCGACAGTTTGGCACAACAGATTCAATTGGAGATGTGAATCGCCTGTTATTGTCATTATTTTATCCGACGTCGTTTCAGAGACAAAGAATTCTTCTTTTGAGGAACGGCCAGGCACAGTAGCAACGTTAGATTGTAGGGCTTCTAGCGACCACAACGATTTCCCCATAATCAGCTGATTTGTACGGATATCGTAAAGCATGCCCAGATCTGCTAATCTTCCTAAGGCAGGAATTTCCTTCCTAAATAATAAAAACCACAGTAAATAAAGAACGGTCTGGAAGAGTATTGCTAGTTATATTATATAAACACTGGTTTGCATACTAGAAATTCGTTCAACAAATTACGACCAACGCTTTAAATCACTTTTCAAGTACAATGAAATTGTTTTTATGCAGCGCTTACTAATATAATAAATGCCGTACATGACTTAAATACGATTCTCCATTACCGTACGCTTCACCCGCGCTGATAAGCGTGTACAATCATAGCTCGTAGTTGGACGCCTTGTGGCCAAATATGGCCAAATACGGTCATGGCAATGACCAGTGACCAGTGACAACCGCGATACAATACTTCAGGCGCACTCTTTGGCCCGAATTTTTTTTTATTTTTCTTGTAATTTTTTCGTATTTTTTCCATCGAATCTTGATATTTTCCACTATTTTTTGACGTGAAGGAACAACTGCCTCTTCTCAGTTTGTGGATGCTGTTAGTCGCTAAAAGTGGAGAATCTCGACTCCGCCTCGCACTTGTCGTGGCTCTCGCGCGTGTACGCGAGTCTACTCGGTTCACAGTTCGATCTATTATTATGATTTATGATAAGGTTGGCAAGCTTTTTTACTAAAATATACTCCAACGTTTGCTACCGCCTGGAATGTCTCGCAAATTACAAATAAAAGAAATATAAAAATTGCATCGGTTTAAACGTCGAAACTTTAAACCGAAGTTTTTACCTCAAAGTTCAATTTTAAGGATGCTAAAAAAGCAAATGTTTTTCGATATTTTGACAAAATTTTGTCAAAAATATGCTGGGGACACCCAGCCTACCCAGTTGTCATCTTTTAGAATTGCAAATAAAAAGCTTATTGGCTCTTTTTCCAACTGAAAAAACGACGATGTGTTCAAATCATTCAGAATATATGTACATTTATTGATTTGTACAGGCAATGTCATTCAGTTTGAAGACATTCACAAACTTTTTCACGTTTTCCCGTCGTACGGGGATTCCAACTGCTTATAATTTTCCGCTCCTACGACAATGGAAAAAAGATAAAACACTCGCAACATAATGAAAACGAGGTCTTCTTAACTCACTTTTCAAATACGCGTATTGATGATGAGGGATTCAGGCACAAACTTAACCACACCGACACTGTACCTTTTTCTAGCAAATGAGAGGAGTTTATTTTCATATTTGTTGTCAATATAAATGGTTCTGCTCCAGTTTCAAATATCGAAAGGGCGAATGCCTCTAGTACTCACTCACTTGCTAAGCAAGCGCTAACGCTTTTTTATTTAAAAGTGAGACATCTGGGTACAGAATAAAGATGATATAAAATCCGTTCTGCGCATAACAATGTTTGTTTACGATGGTGTTATATATAGACGTTTTTATTTTTATGCGCGAGGTAAGAGATCTTTTACAATTGTTAGCTAATGTTCATTAATGCTAGTTTCTTTTCTGGATTCTCTACTCTTCACTTCAGATCTTCGTCGTTTTTGAGTTCTTGTCTTGGTTGTCTGTCCTATCAGGTTGAGCTTCTTAACGTTTCACGTGCTTTTTACTCCGCTAGTCCACTGAAGGTTGAGGGGTTGTGCACGCTCTTTTATAGTAACGGTTGAGAGAAACTTGCACACGTCATCAACCAGAGTGGGGTGATCCTTATCCAACCAATCAGCGTTGTAAGTTAGTAATGTGGGTTTGTCTTAGAAGCTCGTTCCAGCTCTCATATCTTGCTTGTTTAAGGCGTTGTCGCACTAGTCGAGTTGGTCTTCTGCTCAATCGATCAATACTTAAAAATGTTCACAACTTAAAATATTTATCATCAACAACTAGTAAAATTTACAAACAATACGTCTGTGAACAATATCTTTCAACTTTAACTATTTTCACTCTTATTTATCGAATTGAATTTTTGATGACGTAATCTATTTTTACATGACATATGTGTCGTTTTTAATTTTCTTATTTTCTTCTCGATCTCGCTCGACCGGCGGTGATGAACATGCTAATTTCATATCATATTTTGAAGAAAATATTGTTATATTTTGAAGAAGATATAAAGCGAAGCTTATAAATAAACCGACCGTTATTTAAAACTTTATACACTGTATATAATTATTCTCTTCAACAAACTTTAAGTAAGCGAGGTCTTGTGATAGCATGTCTAAATATTAATAGCTTAGTTGCGCATATTGATCAACTTAGGATCTTCCTCGACACTTATAAAATTGATATACTATAGCAATCAATGAATCTAAATTGGATTACACAATAACTTCAAATCAGATTCATGTCCCAGGTTATGATATCGCCAGACGAGATCGTTCTATTAACGGCCGTCATGGTGGTGGAGTTTGTATTTACATCAAAAGTAATTTAAACTTCCGATTACGAGACGATTTACATAGTGAGAACCTAGAACTACTTGCGATTGAGATTCGTAAACCTCGTTCAAAGCCATTCTTGGTAGTAACTTGGTATAGACCTCCAAATTCCCCAACGACAGCTTTTACTGCTTTTCAAGATATAATGGATAAAATTGATGCTGATGGAAGTGAATTCTATTTATTAGGGGACTTCAACTGTGATGTCATGTCTGCGAACCCCGATTGCAATACCAAAAATCTTCTTAATATATGTAATATCTACAATCTATCCCAGATTATATCGAAGCCTACTAGAGTTACTAATACAACGGAATCACTTATCGATTTATGTCTTACTAACTATCCTGATAAGGTCAAAGACTCGGGGACTCATTCCCTGGGTATAAGTGATCATTCTCTCATCTATCTAATACGAAAATCTAATTGGCAAGCAGTTGGTGTAAATCATTCGGTAACTAAGAGGCAATTTAAAAATTTCAACGATGATGAATTTCTGAATGACTTACGCGAAATTAACTGGTCTGATATTCGCTCATTTGATAACCCTAATAATATGTGGATAGCTTGGCTTTCTAGATTCTCGGTTGTATTAGATATTCATGCACCAATTAAGACAAAAAGGCTTAGATGCAATAAATCGCAGTGGATTAACTCCACAGTAATTAGCAAAATACGTGAAAGGGATTCCTTAAAAAAACGATTTGATAAAAATCCCAATGACGTAATTTGGACTAAATATAAAAAATCTCGAAATGAAGTTACTAAGCTCATCAAGAACACTAAGCGCCAATATTTCATGGATCGTATTAACTCGGCTAAAAGTGATCCTAAAAAAACTTGGAAACTCATTAATGAGCTGTCTTCGCGCAAAGTTCACGACTCCACAAATGTAAAATGTATTAGGCAAAAAGATGTAGAGATAACAAACTCTCACGATATAGCTAATGCATTTAATTCGTACTTTACCACGATAGGAGTAAGTCTTGCAAACGAAATACCTTCCTCTGATATAGATCCTATTTCTTATATCAATTCTACCAACAGTTCATTCTCCTTTACCGTTTTAAACGTGGAGACTGTAACTGAAACTCTTAAATCTATTAATTCTAACAAAGCAACCGGCCCGGATAATATTCCTGGTAGGGTTTTGAAGATTGCTTCTGATATTTTGTCTCCTTCTCTAACTGCCATCTTCAACGCTCACTTAATATGGGAATCTACCCAGACGATTGGAAGATGGCTAGAGTGCTGCCTATTTTTAAAAGTGGCGAGAAAGATAATCTTAACAATTATCGACCGATTTCAATTATCTCTATAATTGCTAAGGTCTTTGGTAGACTCGTACATGATCAATTCTATAGTTATTTATCAGCTAATAATTTAATTAATACTTATCAATCTGGTTTTAGATCTCATAGCACTCTAACCTCCTTGCTAGAAACAACGAATGAGTGGTGTGTCAATATAGACAGGGGTCTTCTTAATGGCGTAGTTTTTATCGATCTAAAGAAAGCCTTCGATACTATTGATCATGCAATTCTATTGGAAAAACTTAGAGTCTATGGTGTTGACGATCTCGCGCTAGCGTGGTTTCGATCTTATTTAACTGATCGAAAGCAAAAGTGCTTCGTCAACGGCAAATACTCGTCTAGCTCTTCCATATCTAAGGGGGTTCCCCAAGGCTCTATCATAGGGCCTCTCTTGTTCTTGGTGTATATCAATGACCTACCGAATTGCTTGAACGAGGGTTTTCCTAGAATGTTCGCTGATGACACCAATATAAGTTTCAAGAGTAATAATCTTTTTGAGCTCGAAAACCTCATGAATTTTGATCTCTTAAACCTAAAACGGTGGTTAATAGCAAATAAGTTAAGTTTAAATATTGCTAAAACAGAATTCATGGTCATCGGTTCTCGACAACGGTTAGCAACCTTTGATGATCATGACTTTTGTGTAACTGTGGATAATGAACCAATCGAACAAGTTGAGTCCGCCAAAACTTTAGGTTTGAGTAGATGAACATCTTACATGGACTAACCATGTTGACGTGATTACTAAAAAAGTTTCGTCTGCAATTAGTGCACTCAAACGTACTAGAGGGCTAATGAATCAGGAAACCGCAATTAAGATCTACCAAGGTTTTATTGAACCTTATTTTTCCTACTGCGCCCCAGTATGGGACGGACTCGGAGTTACTTTAAGTGATCGAGTTCAGAGACTACAAAATAGAGCAGCACGCGTCATAACATGTTCTTCATATGATGTATCATCCAATGTCCTTCTTCATAAGCTAAAGTGGAATAATTTATCACTCAACCGTCAAAAACAGAAGGCCATACTCATGTACAAAATTCTTAATGGTCAAACACCTCAATACCTACAAGAGATGTTCGTCTCTAGAAGGGGGCAGTATGCTCTTAGGAATTCCTATGGCAAGTTGTTTATTCCTAAACCTAACACTGATTACTTAAAGCGCTCCTTCTCTTATAGCGGAGCATTTCTTTGGAACAGCTTGCTTGAATCCTCTAGATTATCGCCATCTCTAACCTCTTTTAA